ATCTATCTATCTATCTATCTATCTATCTATCTATATCAATCTCAGCATGTATGTGTTGTTAGTTTTTAAGGTAAGAATGTCCCCATGTTTAAAGAATAGAACATTTGTTTTTGTCGCTTGTGGCCTGCCGTAGAGACATCCACACATGCATTACTGCTGCAGCATAGACAACATTCTGAAAAGGTTAATAAAATTGGTGAACACAAAATAAAAACTGTAAAAGTTTGATTATTTCTTTAATCCCAAGGCAGAATATAGAGTTTGCATCTTCAACATCTAACATAGAGCTCATTCTACAAATAAATTACACAGGTAATTGAGGTTTTGTAGATTAAAATTCCTATTTTTCCCCCCATTTTTTTTTTGTATGTTGTAATCATTATGTTTTGTTCATTAGTTACCAATTTTTACATTTTCACATTATTTAGTCAATAAATTTAATCGTGAATTAAGATAAAATCTGAGCATCCACGCAGGAGCTAAGCTTTATGAGCTGAACCAACTCAAAGTTCCCATCACTACAAACTATAGTTGTGGAAAAATAGTTTAGATGTAACAGCTGTAAGATTTATGAATACAGTCGCATTGACAGCAAAGATCTTTGTCTTTTGTCATCTTTTGCATGTGCTTTTTGCAGCAGTAGAACATGTCCCTCTGTGATTTAGCTCCAGCTTTAACATCCTTTACACTCATGTTTATTTATAGAAGCATGTCCCGTTACAGCTGGTTCAGAGTAGCTCCACATCTGGTCTGTCACTTGCACTGACTGCAGAGGGGTCAACGGGTTTGTTGCACTGACCTCTTAAATCGGGTGGAAACATGAGACTTTGAAGGCATGAGTTTGTTTTTGTTTTTTAAATCGGCTCTGCATCGTACGCATGAAATTGACTGAAAATGATCAATAGTAATATTTTTATCTTTTATGCACTAGCCATCCGGTTTGGTCGCATGCCCCAAGCAGAGAAGATGAAGCTCAAGGAGGAAAGTAAGGTTGTTGAAACAAAAGTAGAAGACGCCATCAAGGACGACCATAAGATTCTGGTCAGACAGATCCATGAAGCCTACCTCAAGAACTTCAACATGAACAAGGCAAAAGCGCGGCTTATACTAACTGGAAAAACCAGCAAGCCGGTAAAAGCAAAAGAAGAGAATTAAAATTTTTTATTACCGAACTAAAAATCTTTATTTTGGAATTTCTGAAGTAGGTTTTTTGTTAAAAGGTTTTACGCACTAATGTCTTCCCTGCAGTAAGGATGTATTTTGTGTCTTCCTGTAGCATAAGTAGAAAGTGGACTTCTTCTACACTTTAGGGTTTAAAGTGTCAAGAAACATCCAAACAGTTTATATCAACACAGGAAATGACGTTAGGAGAAGTTGCACCACAAAACATCTTTATAGCTATAAATCAAATGGCTGATATAAAACTATAAAAGTGTAAAAAAAAATCTGACAACTGCCATGGGTAACATATTAACTCTTTAAAGCCAATTGTATCATATTTGATACATAAGTTTTTGAGACCTCTACATCATCAGTGTTATATTTTTATTCTCGAAAACCCTGACTTACACAATAAGTCACATGTAGGGAACAGAAAATATTTAAAAGATTATAGAGAAATGCCTTATGTATCAAATTTGATGCAAATAAATAATCTAATTTAACTTTCTTTTTTGATGTCATTTGTTAGAAAGTTCAATGACAATTCTAATAAAGTTTCAATTACTTTATGGTCCAGGCTTTAAAGGGTTAACTGCTTATAAACTTTTAACAGAACCTCATTTCAAAAATGTTGACCCCTTTAACCTCTCCTAACATTGTACCCCTTTTTGTTCCTTAACAGCCTTTGATCATTCATGACATGGAGACATTTCAGCTTGCTGAGAAGACGTTAGCGGTCCACATGGTGAGGACTGAGTCTGCAGAGTCCAACAGAGACCTTCAAGCTGGGCAGATCATCCCAGCCATGGTGTATGAGGAGCTCCAGCAGAGGGAGGCTGAGGCCAGGCTCTTCTACTGCTGCCAGAGCACGTCTGTGGAGACGGTCACTGAGCTCACAGAGTTTGCTAAGGCCATACCAGGCTTTCAAAGCTTGGATCTGAATGATCAGGTAGTTATAGGAATCCTTTTAATGTATTCTGGTCCCTGTCCATCTTTAAGCAATGTTGTTTTTTCTTTCCCTCTGGTTTTAAGGTGACTCTCTTGAAATATGCGGTTTATGAAGCCCTTTTTACACTTCTGGCCTCATGTATGAACAAAGATGGCCTCCTCGTTGCGCGTGGTGGAGGCTTCATCACCCGCGAATTCCTCAAAGGCCTCCGCCGGCCTTTCAGTGACATGATGGAGCCGAAGTTCCAGTTTGCCACTCGCTTCAACTCTCTAGATCTGGATGACAGCGACCTGGCGCTCTTTGTTGCAGCTATTATCTGTTGTGGAGGTATGCTGCATTGTCATAACAGTTTTTCTCTAAACACAACAGAGGAATGTTGATCAATTGTTCTTCCTTATCAGATCGTCCAGGACTTGTGGATGTACCTTTGGTGGAGCAGCTGCAGGAGAGCATCATCCAGGCTCTACGGCTCCACCTGCTGGCTAACCATCCAGATGACGCTTTCCTCTTCCCAAGACTGCTGCAGAAGCTGGCTGACCTTCGGGAGCTGGTAACAGAGCATGCACAGCTGGTTCAGGACATCAGGACAACAGAGGACACTTCTCTGCACCCGCTCCTGCAGGAAATCTACAGAGACATGTACTGATAAAAAGCAGTTTTGAATATTTTGAAAGGGCAGCTTGCACGCTGCTGGGACCTATCATTTTTTTTGCACAAAGTCATAAATAAAAGCTAAATATTACTAAAATACAAATATATGTTGAAGCTGGAATATTAATACATTTACGTTAGTAACCGGAAAATATTTAAAGTGATCGAAGCACTGATCTGACCCAAAGAATATAAAAAAAAAAATGGATATCCTTCTATGGGGTTAGACTACGGTAGTCCTATTTATTGTGTGTATTTATTGAAAGGCTGCCTAATTTACTTTTGTCTATTTTAAGATTTAATGTTTTAGAAATACCAGAATCTGGGCTGTTAATATACGCTGCTTGAGACCAGATTAAATAAAAAATCTTTTTATTATATACAGCAGTTTATGATGTTACAAATTTATATTGAAATTACATTATATATTAAAAAAAATCATACCTCTCCATAGCTTTTTATAATTTACTTTTTTCAGGTTTCTAATCTGCACGGTAGATTATATCTTTGCGTAAATCACACCCCTTGCCAGTAATAAATATTTTCACTAAAAATAGTCTGATAACTTTGATCGTTTAGAATTTTGTAAATATAACAAGAATCCAGAGACGGCAGCTAAAGATTGTAAAGTAGCTACCAAATAAGGAAAATTTATACATTATGTGGTTATTTCAAAGTTTGAAATAATCTTGTATTTTGTAATAAAATTCTTTATATTTTTTAAAAATCATGTACAGTCCGAGCTATTATTTCAGTTAAACTTATATTCTCTAGAAGTGTTATATAAATTAAAGCATTTAATGATTTCTTCTTCAATGCTGTGAAATGTACATTCATGTAGCTGCCTGCTGAAGATACAGGTTATGTTTTTATGTCTTTTGTGGGTTTTTTTTCTGTTCATAATGAGTAAGATAAACTGTTTTTTTCCTAATTCTTACATTGATTTCTGTTTTTATACATATTTGTTTTGCAGATAAAATATAAATCATTTAATGTGGGTTTTGTATTTACTGATAAATCATGGATGGGGCTCCAAATTTACAGAGCAAAGAGATGTATCAATAAACTGGTGTATAAAGCTTGTTTGTGTCAGCCTGTCTTCAGAAATATAAATATGAGCACTTACACAATATTATGCTGCATGCAATTAATTGAATTGTATTTAACTAGTATTTAAGGGCCAGTAATGAATAAATTAAACTACATTTCTCAGGTTTTTTAAACTGTTGATTGAACTCCAAAAAACTCTCAAAAATCTCTTTTTTGCATTTTAATGTATTTTGTGGAAATATTTTAGTGTTTTTAGACTTACCAGCAGTTTTTGTAATTTTGGTATGAATATTTTTTCTTGCCTTGGTTTAAATCATGCCTCACAGGAGGTAGTTTTATTTTTTCATTTTAGTTGGGGGGGATTTTTAAGGCCCAAAGCTGTTTATGCTGCCCCTTGGGTTCATTTCTAGGAAGAAAGGTGTTTGTTTTTTTGTGTTTTTTGTTTTTCTTTTGGCTGCTAAATCTGGAAATTCAGTAACATTCTATTGTGTTTTTATTTGTTGTTGTAAATAACCCCTGTTGTTGCCCTTAAATGAGCTGAGGAAATAACTTTAACATTAATATATTGTGATGTCATTTGTATTTTTTTTTCTTTATCTGTATTTACTTTTTCCTCTATTTTTTTCCAGCTCTGAGCTATTTAATATTACTTGTTTTTTCTTGTTTATTATTTATAATATTTATTAACTTTGTGTTTCTGAGACCTTTCCCTGGAATTTAATTATTTCTAGCTAAAATTATTATTTTTTTATTATTATTACTATTCATCTTCACAACTCGGTGCCACCCCAGGCCAGTGGGTGGCGCTACTGTCTTACAGAACAGGATGGGTTTTTAGTCAAACCATTCTAGTATAGCTCTTCTTTAAACGATGGAACAAACTTCAATTGAAACCCCTCAAAGCACATTCTGTTGCCAGCTATGTGGTTTAAGCTCCCCTTTTACTTACTACGGCCAGAAACCACCCAACACCAGAGCCATTGTGTAAGTTTAAATGAAGTGAACCGCTCATTTTGGTGCTAGCGCTAGCTCATGCTAAAGCTAACGCTACTTTAGCTGTTGTGGGTGTTTGAGTTCAGCTCCTCCTGACGTCTCTGTATGGTTTTCAGTGCGCTGTCTAAGTCCAGTAGTATATTTTATAATTACATTGTTTCCAATAATAGTAACGTGTTAAGTATTTAAGCTAAGTGTTGTTTCTACCCTTCTTCAGGTTGCTGGAGGAATGTTTCGTAGCTAAAGACCCCTTCAGTCCAGAAAAGGAGAAGTTTCTGGTGTTGGGATCCACATGCAGCCTGTGCAACATCTGTGTCTGTGTTGGACCGGTAAGATTTTTAAACATCACACACACACACAATTTGAATGCATCTATCTGTTTGTAAATAAAGTGGGGATGTTTTTCCTGCTTATTTTATATCTATTTTATTATCTAGAGTTGTGGATGATACAAATTATCTACGGAAGAGGATAAGGGCCACTAAAAAAAACAACAACAAAAAAGTTAACTGATTTTTAAATTTAATTCAGTGTAATTTGTGATAAAATTTAGAATACGGACTTTAATCTAAGAATTCTGACTATTTTTCTTAGAATTCTGATTTTTTTTTCTCAGAATACTGATTTTTTTTTCCTAAGAATTCTGACTTTGATCTCAGAATTCAGAATTTAATGTCAGAATTCATTTTTTTTTTCTCTCAGAATTTATTACTTTTTTTCTCAATATTCTGACTTTAATCTCAAAATTCTGACTTTAATCTCAAAATTCTGACTTTAATCTCAGAATTCTGACTTTAATCTCAAAATTCTGACTTTAATCTCAAAATTCTGACTTTAATCTCGGAATTCCGACTTTAATCTCGGAATTCCGACTTTAATCTCGGAATTCCGACTTTAATCTCGGAATTCCGACTTTAATCTCGGAATTCTGACTTTAATCTCGGAATTTTGGATCTTAATGTAGATGGACACCTTGAAGGAAGAGCACTCAGGTTAACTGAAAAAAGATGAGTTGATTGGGAGGGCTAGTAACACATTGGTGGAAAATGACAGGATTAGGCGCCTTTTTACATACCCGATGGGTCCCTGGTGATGCTGTTTCATTAATGGAGGAGCAGAAGGTTATTAAAACAAGAGAGCTAATCTCTAAAACAGACATGGCTACAGCTTGATGCTAACATGTTTGTTAGCTGTCAGAATTCTGAGATTAAAGTCAGAATTCTGACTTTTTTCCCAAATTAAACTGAAATAATATTTTATTAATTTATTTTTTTTCAGTCGCCCTAATCCTCCTACATAACTATCACACTCTTTTGAATATGGTTATTTAAAAACTGCTATTTTGTAGCTGTGTGGCATATTTGCACATCCCTGTTGAGAAATTTCTTTGATATTAATTCCATTTTCTTAAGCTTACAGCAAGACTTGAAATTAAAACCTTGATATTTTGCTTTTCTTTTGTGCAGGACTGCAGCCTTTTCTACACCAAGAGGTTTTGCATGAAGTGTGTAAACAGGCACCTGGACCACTTTCCTCAGCAGATCCAGGCTGAACTGGCTAAGAAGAAACAGAGTTCTAATCCAAGTGTCTCATGACAAACAAGGTCCTCAAAAAAAATAAATAAATACATAAATAGTCGTGAGTGGAACAAAATGTTCAGTCCTAGAGGAACTGAAGCTGAATGCATTCGTTAAAGGACACTAATCTAGGTTGCTGCGGTATTCTGCTCCTTGATATTTGTTTATTGTGAAGATATTCAGGGCTGGGTAGTGTGATAACACCTTCAGTGCTGTTGCTACCATGAAAATGCTTCATGCAGCTGGTTCATATGTTTGGGACCAAGTAGCTGGAAAAAAACAGATTTTCTACCTTTTTAAATAATTCACACCCTTTAAACTTTTTCACATCTAATCTAGACAAAAAACCCCTGATTAATTCAAATTTAGATTCTGTTTGATAAATTAAAACTAAACACATTATTGCGTCATAAAACGATGCGTTTTCTTTTGAAATTAATGATGGAAAGGTGAAACATGCTTTTGTATTTCAGCCCACTTTAAGCTGATACCTCAAAATAAAATTCCAGTCCAACAGGCACCTTTAGAGATCACCTAGCTGGCAAGTGCTCCTACAAAGATACCCCTTGTACATTTTACCCAGAATGCATCCTGCTGTCGGGATGCATCGCTAGTGATAGAGAATTTATAAGAATGTGGAAAAAATACAAAGTTCTTTTACACCAATTGTTGCTTTTTAGTGTCTTTCCTGTTGCTTTAACCTCCTAACAGCAATATTTTCCGGCTGTGATGCCTTTTGAGACCCTTATCGAACACCCTCCCACCTTTTTGCTTACTTTTCCACCCAACCGAAGCAATCAAAGGTCTGTTTCCCGTCCGAATCTCGCTCGGCATGAGGCCGCGCACAGTTTACGGCAGCACAAACACATTATGGATTAAGTGCGATCCTACCCGATAACATCTATATAACAGATGGCCCCAGCTGCCTTTATCACGAGATGTTTTGAGCCTCGGCGAGGGTTAATTAAAACAGCATGGCCTCGAAGGCAGGCTTAACTCCCTCTTCTTTTTTTTCATTGCTGGCAATAAGCCGCAGAGGAATCCAGATGATAATCACTGGGGAGTGGATGTTGGGACATTGTAAAACGTATGCGAAGAAACATTTTAGCAGATTTTATTTTACTGGTTTAAAAAAAAAAAAAATCTGTGCTTTCAGCATGGAAAGAAAGCCATGACGATGAGGAGTTTTGCTATAAATCTAACTCCACCTGCTTTACCTCACCCCTCCCCTTGGTGTTTAAATTTTAAGCCCACATTAGCAATTACACCCAGTGAAGCACGCAAACCGCACCAGTGCCAAAGTCTGACACGATAGGCACCGAGCCAACAATGACGGCAGGCCTCCCTTCACAGCTGATGTCATTGGAGTTAGAGGTGAAGCCTTTTTTTTTCTGTTCTCATGGAAAAAGAAAAAAAAAAAACAGAAAAAAACTCCCTAGATTGACCCTATAAGCTTCAGCTCAGCGCTGATTGAATCAAAGGTACTGTTTATGTGATAGCAAATAGCTGTGTTAAGTGTCAGCTCGCATGCACTGATTGCATGATTGATTCATGTGATAGCGGGTCCCGCCTGCAGTGAGGCTTCGACGAACTACTACTACTACTACTACTACTGCAGGAGTTATCACGTGTTCGCTGCCTGTTTCATCCTGCAGGAGCATGAAGCTGCAAATGCCCGTCTATTTAAAGCTGTTGGCAGAAACACGGAGCCCTGCCAAAAAATATTCACACCGAGGGATATAATTTCCACATTTCAACCACGATCTTCTGCCTCTTTTATTGGGAGTGTTATAAACCAACACATTGTGACTTGGATTTGTCAAGTGGATCAAAATAAGCTGGTTTTCAACCTTTTTTATTTATTTTAAATCTGTATTTAACATCATCCTGAAAAACACTATCTGCATCCTGAAGCACGGTGGTGGAAGTGTCATCCTTTATTTCCATTGGGGAAGCTATAAATGTAAATAAAAGACAGATATTCGTCCTGTACGGTATAGATCTAGCCTTGGTGGTGGGAAAGAAAATGCAAAAAAAAGAAAAGGGAACTAAATAATAATTGATAATTGAACTTTATTAATCTGACATTGGAGAAACTAACCTTTGCATTTAATCCATCCCCTTGGGGAGCAGTGTGACATGGAATGATGGGAGGGTATAATCTGCTTTATGTGACTTGCATCATCCCCACTCATAAACATGGTGGTGGCTGCATTATGTTTAATAGATTCTGGGTTTTAAACATAAAGTATAGCAGATTCCACTTCTTTGCACTTTTTTCCTGATGGTCAATCACATATAATCCTATTGGACTTTTTTTCAGTTAGTTTTTGCACGGCCAAATGAAAAAAAGGGAAAAAAATGAGCAGAGGGGCTCATATTCGCAGGGCAGCTCCGGCTCAGATCTGCAGTTGTTGTTCCCTCTGCTGTGCTGAGGATGGGGCGGGGCGCCTACAGCGACGAATCGCTTCTCTGTTTAAATAGTCAGGTTTCCTCCTTCGCTCACAGCTCTACGCCATGTTGGCTGTTTTGGCTTGTTTTCATGAGACTTTTACTACGAACCTGACAGGAGTGGCTGCATGAAAACATCCCCCCCTTTTCTCTGGGAGACATTCCGTTTTTTATTAACGCGTAATTTGGATGATCGGCGCAGGAAGGACGCATGGTGACTTTTCATTTGGAGGGAATACTACTTTGGAATAACAATCTTTAAAGGGACCCACGCCTCATTTTTTATTTTTTTTTTTCTTGCTGCGGTTTCTTTGGTTTTCTGTCGTCTTATGTGCAACAAGATGTCAGAGGTTCGGCTTTCTAACGCGAGTCCCACGGTGGAGCGCGTGGACGCGCGGCAGCCGGACAGCACCAGGTCGGTGCGCAGGGTGCTGTTCGGCACACCTGACCCGGAGGAGACGCGCAGGCAGGCGGAGGCTCTGCAGCAGCAAGCCGTGGACGATTTCACGGAGAGGTACAACTTCGATCCGGTGGAGGACAGGCCGCTCTCTCCGGGGGAGTACGACTGGCAGGAGGACGGAGACGCGCCGGAGTTTTACCGGAGGCCGCCCCGGGGGAGCAGGCCGCCCAGCGGGGAGGCTGCATACACTTCTAACGGTTCACGGAAACGACCTGCAGGTGAGGAAAAAAACATCTCTGCACCTTTTTAGCGCAATTTTACCGAAATTAAGAGAAAATAGATGCAATCTATTTTTTTTATCGTTTAAAATGTTCATTTTGCAAACAAGTGTTGCGTTTTTTTCTTCATGCAATCTTATTCATCTGACCGTTTCTTAATTGTTTATGGGGGTTTTGCATCTGCAGGGAATTGCTCTGAGGACTGCACGAGTCAAAAGAAAAAGTCGCATTCCGATGAAGACGACGACGATAAAGGTGCAGGAAGCCAAAGAGTGCAGAGAGCCAGCAGGCCAGAGGAGGAGGACCCGAGCCCCCCGGTGCCAGGTTAGAAACCATTTTCTCTCCTCTGCGCTTTGAACAGCTGCTGTCCTCCTAAAGGGGGCTCATATGCATCAAGATCAGCAGCACTTATCCTCTCTATAGCTCTGAATCTTTCCCTTTTCTCTGTGCGCATCAATAAGCAATTGCATTTTTTTTTTCTTCTTTGCATCCCACAGCGCAATGAGACCTGTCGCCTGTGGAACACCGTGGGCTTCCTCACCATCTGACAGAAGACGTGGAGAGAAACATAGAAAAACAAAGCAGCTTTATCCCAGAAGGGAGGAGGAGGAGGAGGCTGCACAAGCACTGAATATGTACACTATCGACTTTTGGCACTCTTATTTTTCTATGATAAAAATGCCTCAAAAGCAGCAGACAATTGTAGCAGTGTGCAAATTGATTTTTGCTCATATTTTTATATATATAAATATATATATATACTACCTATGTTTCAGATGTAGCAAATAATTGGTTTTAATACCTTTTTTTCCTGTAAAATATGTCTGTGTGACTTTGACTTGGGGAACTGCAGTGCAATTCCCATCAGATAAATTTGAAAGTTATTTAGTATAAAAAAAATGCTAATTTGTGTCATTATTCAGGTATTTTTATGTTTCGTTTTATTGTAGAAAAAGAAAAATACAGATTTCAAACATCAGGGTTACGTGGATACAAAATGTTAACTTTTTCTACGGTGTTGTTATTGAAGGCCCGCATGGTTCACACTTTAAATTTGTGGATCCATGCAACTGGGAACAGGCATGATAGATAAAGTTTACAGCCTTATTCCCTATTTTTTATTTTTATTTTTTTCCAAATGGGATCAGGTCGGGAGGGGGTCGAAATTCTGCCTTTTTATTTTGGGCTTTTTTTTTCTCTCTCTCTCCTGTGGTTAAAACTGCTGAGCAATATTCTTCATTCTTTGAAAAAAAAAATCCTAAAAGTTTGATTTAAATTTCTAAAATTCTTCCATGCACCCCCTCTCCAAACGTAGGTTTGCTCCAGGGTAACATAGGCGGACAAAAACGTATAAACCACTGGGCTTTCTTTATGCAAATATGTGAATCAAAGAATCATGTTTGTGGTGTAAAATTCATGTGGAACATGGAATTGATTGCACTATTCATTTCATATTTTCCATGAGGGCAGAAATACAAAGTGACCCCCCCCCAACTCTGCATAAAACATTGAAGTGTTTATTTTTGTTTTTCAAAAACACTGTAAGACTATACTAACTTATTTATGTCTGTTTTTTGTGGGTTAATGTTTAGCTTCCCAAAGCAAAATTTTGTGCATTATTGTAAATATATATTTTCATTGTTTTGTGTTTTTTTGTGTTTTTTTTTTTCTAAGATGAATAAATAAATTTGCTAAACTGAGCCAAATAATTGCAATGGTCTATTTTTTTCACGTGCAAAACAAAGTTAAGTTAAATTGCTGCACATTTGTGACATTAGTTGTTTTTTTTTGTTGTTTTTTTTTCTTCTGACTAGAAAGATGGAAGTTGTTTGTTTGCAAATCTGTGTGGTGCAGAGGAAGTTCAGAAAGGGGTTAGCGGAAAAGGAAAGGATCCTTTTCGGACTATAAAGGAAAAGTGTACATTTTGTGCAAAGGAACGACAGGAGAGTGCTGGTCGTGACTGCTGAATCCCTTCGGTCTGCAGTTAAAAAACAACAGGGGTATGTCCTGAGGAAAGAAGGGAAAAAAAAGAGAGGGAAGAAAAGTTTCCTTTTATTGGCATTCCCAGGCTCCAATCAGAGCAGAGTGAAGAAAAGCAGACCACTTAGCTAGCAGCCAGTTAGAGCAGTGGGAGGGAACCAAAGGACAGTACAGGCTGTTCTTTTCATAAGGCACACACCACCAACCAATTAGTTTCATTGGCTGACTCTTTCCTGTTGATACAAGTGTGTAGGAGTCAAGTATAGAGAGAGCTCCTCTAATGATAACTCACACTGGCTTTGAGTGTCTGCAGGATTTACAAGCAAGCTCATATATATTTATCACCATTTTCACCTTTTGGCAGCAAATATTCACACTTTTTGACCCCGTACTCCAATGCAACAGTCACTTTTCAAAAGTATGCTTTCTGGACATCTTATTGGACAAGAGTATTTTGCAACCTCAGCATCTGCTTTATGCCTTCTTCTTTCTTCTTGGTAATAAAACTCAAATTTCTGGTGTTGATCCGTATTCTAATGCTGCAGAGCTCTGCAAGGCAGGGGGATCTTTGCTGAAAAGTCTCAAAACAGGTCACATATCTGACCCTCTTTTTAGCATTATGTCTATGCATGTATCTGTTTAAGATAAAGAAATCCTCATACAAAGAAACCTACAAATTAGTTTCACAATACTGTATTTTTAGGAGCCCTTATTAATGCTGTCTGTTAATATTGTAAAGCAATAGAATATATACAAGCTATTTATGTTGATCTGTAAAGGCTTGCATAAAACAAACGTTTACTCACATATGTCAATATTTTCTCAAATTATTATTATTTTTCTCAACATATTAAATGTTATGGCTTGTAGGTATTGTTTCCATATACTCAATTATCTCTTTAAAGCAATAATCTGGGTAAGAACAGCAGAAACGTGTATTTTTAATAAAAGATTAAAGGCTTGGGGGATCTTCACACCTCTAAGCCTCTAAGATTTTGTCTTTTATTAATAAGCAACAAAAATCACACCATCTCTTCTGTAGCCATGGTAACCACAGATATAGTGAACCCTCAGGGCCAGCCCAGGGTTGAATGAGCCAAACTAAATATTTTGGATAGTATACATTTGAGATAGAAGGCTAAACCTACAGAAAATAATCACAAAGATATATATTTTTTGGATAAGATAACTCGAATAGGTTTAAAATGATGTCATTTGGCCGCAGCAATAGCAGCCATCAGTTCTTTTGAGAAGGCTGTCAGTATTTTTATATGACTGTGGAGGAGCTTTTTCAAACCCTAATTTTCAGATTTGTTTCTTTAAAATTTCAGTCTCATTGACGTCATACCACGGAATCTCAATTGCATTTCAGGGTAGACTTCAACTAGGCCACTTCAAAACCTTCATTTAGGTTTATTTGAGCCACTTTTTGATGTTGAATAGATTAGTTACCTGCTGCATTACCAAAGTGATGCCTGGAATAGATTTTTTCATAGTAGAATATAAGTCAACTACAGCTTTCTGACAAGTTCCTGAAGCTGTTGTGAAGTCTCAGACTACAGCACTGCCTCCACCATGTTTGACTGTCAGTATGATGGAAATCTGTGTTAGTATTGGGTCAGATGTAACAGGACACCTTCTAGATATTTCCACTTTTGTCTTGCAGTCTCCCATGGAGGCCATTTTCACTCTGTAGCCTATAGTTACATCATGAACTCTTACTTTAACTGGGGCAAGGGAAGCCTGCAGTGCTTTAGAGGTTCTTATATTGGTTATCTTCGGCAGATCTTCTCATACCAACAATGACACCGCATGTCGAGAGGTAGACAGGCCTTGACCAGCGCTTTGAAAAGTTAATTTAGTTCCTGTACACACTGGGTCGCTTTAAACAACCCTTAGTTTGCCTCTGAATTAAAGAAACGTCTCTGGATTTGCTGCATGAAATAACAGTAAACAGAAAAATATTCTGTCTTTGCACCTGCAAATGTTTTATTTTCATATAGTTACCACTGTAACCTTACCCTTCATAATTACGTGCCCTACTGTAAGTTTGAAAAGAAAGCGATACAATCCAAAGAGAAAAGAAAAGGAAACAGGGAACGGTGGAGGAAATCAGGAAGAATGGGAAATGCTCTTTGGTTACGTTTTGCCACAGCTGAGCCAAGTAAGATCCAGCTTTGGAAGTAAAAACGTGAATCTAAGAAAACAAAAAAATATTGTTCTCTTTACACATTTTAGGTTTTTTGATCTTTCTTATGAGTTTTGCAGCTTGCCTGTGCATATCTCAGATGCTGGCTTTCCTGCTGGTTCAGTGCTGGAGTGTTTAGTTTGACTTGCAGCAGGGGTCACCAATACTATGCAGGCCTGCTTCTCTGCTCACGGAAACAAACGCTCTGGGACGAGCTGTAGAAGTGTTTGATAGTTTACCCAAAACAAAAAGGAACAGTTCAGCTCTATTTGAACTTTTCTAGAAATACATTGATTTATATCCATTCATTTGATTACGAGTATATGTTTTACAAAGAATAATTGCAATGCTGTGATTTTTGCTTTTGTCATGCCTTAATTCGTTTAACTAACAAATAAATTGAATCAGACAAAGATAAACAGATTAAAATTTAAATGTAGCTTTCTTTACACTAGATTCAATTGCTCACCAACTCACAAAAACATCCACCACTAGGGGTGGTAAGCTACATTGCAGGCACAGCTACCTGGGGAACACTAAGCATGAAAGACCTACAATCGACGCTATTATGCCCTCTGACCATCAACAGCAGGATGGGGGGTGGATGGGTCAACACCAGGGGTGCTCAAGTCCAGTCCTAAAGAGCTACTATCCTGCAACTTTTTAATGCTACCATTTTTAACCCACCTGAATCAAATGAGTGGCTCGTTACCACACCTCTGCTGAGCTAAATGAGGAGATTGAGGCTTTAGATTCAGGTGTGCTAGAGAAAAGATGCATCTAAAAGTTGCAGGATGGTAGCTCTTGAGGACTTGAGCAACCCTGGTCTACCCCAAGGACACAGCAACTTAGAGGGATGACGTAGGCATATGAAAAAGTGACATATGAGGCCTTGATCTAAAGGAATCCATGGTCAGACTTGAAGCAGGGTTGCTACCATTGACCCAGTGGCGGTTCTAGACCCAGTTTGTCAGGGAGCCTGATGGGGCCAGTGTATTTATTAAGAAGATTTTTTTGAGCTAAACATAAAGCCCCTGTCACACCTTATGCCAAAAATGCTAGCATATGTTGGATAAGTTATGGCTAAGTTGCGTATAAGTTATGAGCACGCTGGCACAAGTCGACAAACGACAAGTACTTCAAAAAATTTTGAGCATGCTAAAAATTTCCGGATGTATGCCGGCATATGCTATACTTGGGCCATAAGTTATAGGTAAGTTATCTGATCGTTGACATACGTTAAGTTTAAGTAACCTATAAGTCATAGCTTCTAGCTTATCCAAAACCTATGAGTAAGTTGTGCATAACTTCTGGGTAACTGATCAAGAACGTATATCCAACACATATTATTTGACGTGTTCCAGACAACTGCTGAATGTGTTTCTAACTTATAGCAACTGTTTAATGGCGTACTGGCAGCATTTTGGTATAAAAGGGGATTCACAGGAGGAAACAGTCAGTATTGCTCTAGACTTCATCCCCATCATAGGGTAAGCGAGAAGGAGAGTGTGATGGATTCTCCCTGCGTTCATGCCCACAGCCACGACCAACAAACTTTCTAGCAGACATGACACAGAATCTGCTGCTACTGCAAACCTTCTTTCTTTATTTTTATTTATTCTTTTTTTTCATTTATTTATTTATTTTGCATGTAGTAAACAGCAGCTAGATTGATACCGAAATCAAATAAGCCTCCGGGCGCATTGCTTCCCCCCTCAGGACACTGGCATTTCATTGACATTATGCTGCCCTGCGTTATGCATTAGTTAGGCTGTTGTTGGGCATACGCTCTGGACTCTTTATGAATACTCTATTTATACGCCCAAAATTGAACAATGCATAGAAAGTTAAGCGTATGCCAGCATTTTAGAGGATTCTGGGACATCAGTCATATGCTGGCTATATCGTCAAGGTGTGAGAGGGGCTTAAGCAAACAATAGATGTGTTTTAATCAGCTTTTTGACATATTGCATCAGAAAATCTTAATAGAAACAGTGAAATTAGAAAGAAAGACTACAGTACTTCAAATTTGGAAAAAGTTTTACATTCGCTTGAGGTGGTTTTTGGCTTTTGCAAAAAATCTATAATGCACATAACGGTAAATGGAAGGAGTTTTCGATTCAGCTCTGATGTAGCAAACTTTAGCCTAATGTGACAGATCAGCTGTTTCTGCTGTCAATGTCTTTCCGGATGTTTCTATTATGCTCCTCAACATGGCTGGAAGCAACATCGCCAAGACTAGCTGACATATTTACATAAGAACAATTTCCTCAATAGAAACACATTCATGAAACCTTTCCTTCGTTACTGATCTGTGGTCCATTAAAGCCCCTACATCCTGTTTATTACAGCCATGCATGACGTTGTACTGTGGACAACGAAGTATGACGACACTACGCTTTACATTGCTTGGTTAATTTGCTTTGAACCAAATGGAAACACCACTAATTCTCACTTCTTACTATTGTACATA